TCTGCGTACCACACATGCAATACAAGATGCTGAGAATGATGGTGAAGAGAAAATTGGCATGATACATCAACCGTAGGTAGAAAAGATCATCTAGGGGTGCCCGGGTGGCTCAGTTGTTTAAGTGTCCAACTTCAACTCAGGTCATGATCTCACAGTTTGTGGATTCGGGTCCCATGTCAGGCTCTGTGCTGATAGCTCAGAACCTGTACTCTGCTTTGGATTCTGTATGTGTATCTCTCTCTGCCCACTCCCTTGCTCATTATAACAAATCATCCCAAAATTTGGTGGTTTACAACAATAATCTATACTTTCTCCTGATTCTGTAGGTTGGCTAGGTGATTCCTTAGCTGGGCTCACTCACAACTTCATTCAGCTGGAGAGTTGGCTGCGCTAGAGGATTCAGGTAGCCTCACACTATATGGCGTCTGGTGAAGGCATCAGCAGAGCTATCTCGGTTATTCTCACTGGGAATTCTCGTCTTCTGTAGGGCTAGGCCAGCTTCCTCAGAGGACAGCCTCAGGACAGCATTCCAACAGCATGAGGGTTGAGCTGCAGGCCTCCTGGAGACCCTTACTCTGGAACGCACACAGCATCACCACCACATTCTTTTGGATTGGGCCATGCGGTCACAAGGCTGGCTCAGATTCTAGAGGAAGGGGAACAGATTCCGGCTCCTGATGGGAGTTGCTGCCACACCCACGTTTCACCCAGCACAGGCTATAAAGACAGGACTTTTTCTTTGAGAGTAGGATTTTGAAACTTGAGATTTCAGGGGTAAAATGTTTCTGGATGACAACATCCAGCACACGACCAAAAGCATGAATGGCTCAAGTAGAGTGTTGGGAAGGTTGGGTGCTATAGTGTGGGATGCATCGCCTTGTGGACCTTCAGGAGAGACCTGAAGTCTGGAAGGTGACAGTAATCACGGCATGGGCTCACAGGGCCATTTGACAGCCAGGAGGTCATGACCACAGTCTCTAAACAGCCTGCTGATGGTGGGCACCAGCACCCAGGGGGCAGCCACCCTGGGCCAACTCACCAAGTCCTCACTCCCCACCTGCCACATTGTCTTGTTCACTGGCCAGTTCTAAACAAACTCAACTGCTTTCGATGTCCACAATGTGCAGGTATGTCCTGAAGCACTTAATGATCAGCATCCATGTCCCAAGGATTCAGAAAAAGTAAGAAATGAAGTTAAAGTCAGTTTTGAGTAAGATTACAAAGCTGCCATGGTAACAGATTACCAGTGTCAGCCCTTTCTAGCTTTTACTTTTATACTTTCTTTGTCTCCTCAGATATGTATCTAAAGGCATAAGGATATCTGCACTGATCAGCAGGATTCATGGTGGTGAAATTTATTAACAGTGTTAAATGAATAATATTTATTGCTCTCATTCTAGGTAAATGAAAGTCAGAAACCAGATAGTCATTAACCAGATGGTCCTAAGAGCTCATTCACCCATAGGAGTGCTAGGTATGAATAAATTAGAGCCCATAACAAATAAAGAAGGATAATATTGCACATTTTTATAATTATTGTAACTTAATATTTGTTTATGTGTGAAGAATGAACAGTTTACAATATACATGTAGCCTGCATTTACATCCTTGGCGGTAACTTCATACACCTCAAATGATTTCTAAATTACCACAAAATCAAATTTCTACCCCAAATAAAAGATTTTCAGTATTTGGATATCCAGAAAACCCTTCCTGGAAATTGCACGTCTAGGGCGAGGGAGCTGGGCTACGAGTGTTTACTTCTGCCCTGCCTTTTACTTCCTTTCCATGTTGTCCCTTTTGTACGGGGTTTAGCACCTTTGGCAGTCACTTGGGTTTTGAGCAGATTGCTAGAGATTAGAGGACCCGTGGATGTTATTCTCACCTTTGACACAGAAGTTCTCTTTAGGACTGTGCATGAGATGTGTCTATAAACAAGTAATGATATTTTTGTAATCATAGCCTTAATATAAAAGCAGGAGAGCTTTCATCCCCTTCAAAGTAGTCTTCTATAAAAGCTACACAGCTCTTCTACCAGTGCTTTCATGATTCAAATTATTTGGGGGATTCTTTTGGGGGGGCTGGTCTCAAAGCTTGTTTGCAAGCTGACAAGAAAACCAACTGTGTGTTTTTCTGTGTCCATTTCCGTTTTGACTAAATCTAAATGTTCCCCAAATTTCAAGGATTGGCTCTTCTTGAAAATTTTACTTTCCAAAGAGTAAGATTTCCCACCACTTAGGATGATGAAAATAATATACTTCAGTTTCCAGCATTGTGAGGCTCCACGCGGATCCTGTTTTTTGACACAGGGTATATACCCCACAGTAATGTCACCAGAAATGTATCAAATTTCTTATTCATAAGAAGGGTTACCGTTTTTATTCTAGAAACTAGAAGTGCCCCAGGAAAATATTTCTAACCTACCTTTCCAATTCTATTATCACTTAGCTCACTGTATCCAACTCCCACCCAGAAGTTTCCCTGCCTTCTTGATGCAACGTCAGCTTTGCTCCCTCTTGCATTTGTGCTCGTTGTTTTTCAATGAGTTACTCTGTAATTGCTCTACTGAAATTCATCCTCTGTGTAGATCTTTGTGGTTATTAAGTTTATGATTTCGCAACTAATCCTGGGTTTCCCCTGTCTGTTTTGTTCTCCTCAAGGCATTCACCTTCAGCACCATGATTATAATCCTGGGGGTCATGAGTGTGTCAGGCACATCAGTCAGTTCACCAAAACCTCATTACTTTGGGAGCCCAATACTGTAGTTCCCACTTAAAAGATGCAGAAGCTGAGGCTGAAAATGCAAATACCTTGCCCAATGACAAAATGACTGGAAAATGGGGAGAGTAGGATTCAAACTCACATCTCCTCTAAGGCAGGGATTTCTCAGCCCTAGCACTGTGATGGTTGGGCCCCATTACTCTGTGTTGTGGGGGCTGTGCCTTGTATTATAGTATGTTTCAAAGCATCTATGGCTTCTCCACCAACCCCACTGTGACAGCCAAACATGTCTCTAGACTTTGCTAAATGTTCTCTGGAAGGTATTGCAGGACCACTAACCTGATGCCAAAGTCAGGCTTTTGCCATATTATACTATGAAGTAGGGAACTAATAAAACCAGAGACTAGATTTAGAAGAGATCAGTCTGAGGAGTCACCACCCATGGGTGATCATCAGAATTAAAGTTTTTCTTAAGCCTGTCTTTCTCCACTCCAGACCTTCAGAATCTGCATTTGCCAGGTGGGGCACAGATATCTGTCTATTTTAAGCCTCTCTATGGTATACGAACTACAGACCAGATCCTGACCTCACCACACATCTGTTGTTTGAATCACTCCACTCAAGTCTTGCCAAATAGTCTCCAGTCTCGGGTTCAACACCTCCTCTGATAGTGTTACAGGAGCCAGTCTCATGTTCAGATGGTCCTAAGTGGGAAAAAGGATCCATTCTATTTAATATTCTTTCTTATGACTCTCCCTCTATACTCTTAATCTCATATTATCCAAACTATCATTTTTCTCAAATCAGTTCAATTAAACATACACGTACTGAGCCCCTGTTATGATCAGGCCCTATCCTGAGCAATTTCTTTACCATTAAAACTGTTACTGGCTCATTAAAAGTGACCATCCAAACCAGTTTTCTCCTGTTAATAGTAGGCTTCCTCAGAGTGCCTGAGTGGCTTGGTTGGCTAGGCATGTTACCTGTGACCTCAGCTCAGGTCTTGATCTCAGGGTTTTGAGTTCAAGGCCAGTGATGGGCTCTGCACTGGGGTGAAACCTACTTTAAAAACAAAATTAAAAAAAAAAAACAATAGACTTCCTCAAAAGGGCAATTATAATTCATTAAAACCTTAGAATCCCCTGTTTGGCCAGCCATCCTGCTGCTGCCAGGAAGCAGTCTACTCTCCCTTTAGGGAGGTTCCAGCTACTGGGGAAGCAGAGCTCACAGCAGCTTTTCCTCTTCCTTTTGACCCCTCACTCAGCAACCCTCTTAAACCTTTCTTGATGGTTTCAGGAAGATTCCAAACTAGCTCCTCATCCTGGTAATATCATTCTTTACCATATGCTCCAGATTTCTTGATGAAAACACAAAGAGAAAGAGAATTTTTAAAAATACATTGCTTTATGGTGCCCCTCTTAAGAATATCATTTTATGGGGGCGCCTGGGTGGCTTAGTCGGTTAAGCGTCCGACTTTCGCTTAGGTCATGATCTCGCGGTTTGTGGGTTCGAGCCCCGCGTCGGGCTCTGTGCTGACTGCCAGCTCAGAGCCTGGAGCCTGTTTCAGTCTGTGACTCCCTCTCTCTCTGACCCTCCCCTGCTCACGCTGTCTCTCTCTCTCTCCTAGAAATAAATAAAAATATTTAAAAAAAAAAAGAATATCATTTTATGAATTTGATTCATAAAAATAGATGAATAAATATAATTTTATTAATGTATCAAAATTCAGTTGGACAGTTTACTCATCTTTGAAGTAGGCTAATCCTCTGTGCTTGCACTTTTGAGCCTTCCCTAAGTCACCGTGATGGTATAGAACATGCAGGAAACTGCTTTTTGGGGAGAGAGAGGGTGAGTCGTTGGGAGATTGAGATGGCATGGGCACTAATATTGCCAAGGCGACTCGTGCCCCAGTGTCTAAGGTTAAACCTGCAAGTGACTGGTCTCTTTAGTGGGTCAACATGAGTAGCTAGCGAACTATAAATGTGTGCCAGCACTCTCACTTGCCTGGATGGATTTTCAGTAGGCAGGTTGTGTTTAGAGAAAACCAAGGAGAAAATAACATGTTAACCGGCATAAACCATTCGGGGTCAAAATAACAATCTGGCTGTGTTTTTGCACTTGTGAGAGACATAAATAGAAAACCTGAGTTTCAGTTAGGCTTAGTATGAACTTCCAAACTTTTTGCTTATACTTGGGCACCTCCGAAGAAGTGCCCGGACAAAGGGGAAATGGCCTGACCCCCTCTCACCTCTGATTGCTCTGTAACTCTCTTCTTCCAGAGTTTTATAAATGGACACTGACATGGACTACGAAAGACCCAACGTTGAAACCATCAAGTGTGTGGTTGTGGGAGACAACGCCGTGGGGAAGACACGCTTGATCTGTGCCAGAGCGTGTAATACGACGCTAACACAGTATCAGCTGCTGGCCACCCACGTGCCTACCGTGTGGGCGATTGACCAGTACCGAGTGTGCCAGGAGGTAAGACGTACAGAGTTTCTTTAGGCTCCTACGGGCTCATCACTGCTATTGCCAGTCAGATTTTAAAAGGGAATAGGGGTAATTTGTGCATGCAAGAGAAAGCTTATGTTTTTAGTACCACAAGAGAAAACAAAAGTGAAATGCAAACTCAGGAGTATGGCTACAGTATCTTGAATGAGGAGGGTTTGAGTCATGTGATTCCAGGAGGAGAATTAGGACTTCGCTCAAGTCCTGTAAGATGAAATGATGAAACTAAAGGCAAGTGGGTCAAGGAAGATTTGAGAAGTCTGACCTGGACGTCCTCTCCTGAGGAGCCTCTGAATGACACTGAGCAGGACTGTGCTCTCTCCCCTGCAGGTCCTGGAGCGATCCCGGGATGTGGTTGATGAAGTGAGCGTTTCTCTCAGGCTTTGGGATACTTTTGGCGATCATCACAAAGACAGGCGTTTTGCATATGGCAGGTAAACCAAGACCAGGGCAGTGTGCTTGAGCCTGAGTACAATTTCCTTTCCCAAACCGACGGTTGCTTCATAGGTCAACAAAAGCCACATCCCATGGCCTTGAAATGTGTTGGGTTCTGCACTGTGTTTAAGAAAAAATATGGCATTGTTTTCTGATGTTAAGAAAAGCAGTCTGCCTTGATGCTAGGTCCCTCCCAAGAAGTCCCTCATTTGAAACCACCAGTGTTAGCCAAACTGGGATGATTGCTAGAAGTTTCTGGTGTGCTCTCCTCCTCTGGCTGCTTTGATGGAAGGTTTTCTGAATGGTACTTTATTTACCTTTTTCTAAAATGTTTTAAGTTATTTTAGCACTTGGCCACCCCACTTCAGAAGATCTCTTTGGTCTTTTTCTGACCATGTTAGTGGAGTCTGATGTTTTTTTGCTTTGGGCTTTGTTATCTGAAAAGTCTATTATTTTTATTTGAAGGTCATTTTAAAAAAGAAAGAAAAATACCTCTGAAATCCTTCACAAGGCACGTTTCCAAAATGAACGGAAGCACTAAAGTCTTTTACATTAAAAATCAAGCAAAATTCCAGAAGAAGGAAAAACCAAGTGAAATCCCTCTAGTAAATCTAGAAGGACATTAATAAGACTAGGAACGTGGTCAAAGTGCCTTAAAATATTTAGCAACTTCTTCTTCCACCATAACTTAAGGTCTTTCTCTTGATGAATGTGTTATAAGCTATCAAAACCCAGATAAGGAAGAGATTTTCTTACCTTTTAATTGTAAATTAACACGTTTTATCTTAAGTTTAGAATTTAGGTGTCATGGATCAGTTGTCCCTCATTAACCTCAAATGTCCTGTTACCTTGCAGGATTGGATTAGGCATATACTCCAAGCACACGAATGACTCCTTGGCATTGAGATAAGCATTTCTGAAAGCACCTCTATTCCTTTTATTTTTTTTTTTAACGCTTATTCATTTTTCAAAGACAGAGAGACAGAGAGCGAACAGGGGTGGACAGAGAGAAAGGGAGATAGAAACCAAAGCAGGCTCTAGTCTCTGAGCTGTCGGCACAGAGCCTGATGTGGGGCTTGAACCCATGAACCCTGAAGTCATGACCTGAGCCAAAGTCGGATGCTCAACTGACTGAGCCACCCAGGCACCCCACATCTCTGTTTCTTCAAGCCGGTAGCTCTCTAAGGCTCTGAGCAGACTTTATTGGCACTTATCCGCGTGGTCTGAACTACTCAATAAACTGCTGAAAGGGTTTGTCCTATTCCTGAGAGGTTCACAGCCTGAGAGAATCTGCCACTTAGACCAGCTTGTTCGTGGGGACTCAGAAAGGGGAATAGGGCAAGTAAAACATCAATGTTAATGTCCCCTTGGTAACGAGGACTTTTGAGGTTAATTTCCAGGGTTGTAGATACTTTTAATCTCCTTGAATATCCTGCTTTATCATTTTTTTTCTTTCCATGGTGTATTTGATTCTTATATTAGTTGCCATTTTGTGGTTTTTCTTTTGTCCAATTATTCCACACATACAAACAATAATAATAAAGTGTCATTTAAAGACCATACAGTTGGATTTGCAATATCTACAGTTGTAAGAAAGTATCATAAAATGATGATTTTAAGTAAAGTAAAGGTGGATGTGATGGATTTCTGTGGACATTTTGTACCCTCCCTTCCAAAAAGCTGTCTGAAGATGATGGGCCTAGAGATGAGCTTACTGAGGTTTTAGGTTTAACTGCTCTGGACCATTTCACGGGCTCAGTGCCATTTTGCCACTGGAATGTTGTGCAGTTGAAAAAAATGAGTTTTAACTTGGCCCCACAATATAACGTTTATCTTTGGGTAATAGAAGGGCCGCTCCACTGTCGTGTGAGATTCCTGCTTAGGATTGATTCAATGGCATGACGGCCTTCACAGATCTCACACTGACAGGCGTCCACACTGGGTGTCGTCCAGCTCCCGGTGCGTCTGGAGCCGCTTCAGCACGTGCCAGGCCTGTGTTTGTTTACGCCCCACAAAAAGAGGCCGCTCCTTCATGTGACCGCATCAGTTCAGACTGCATCGTTCTGCTCCCTTGTCTGTCACGCTTGCTTCTTTCTATCAGCTGTAACCTCCTCCCCCTTTGATGGAAACAGGATGTGTTTTCCAAGCCAAGTTTGATTCTCCAAGCGACACAAAAGGGCTTCAGGCAACACTCCCATGTTTCTGACCCAGCCCTCCATGGGCCTCGCTTTATGCGCATGTTTGTACCTTGTATTTCCTCTGTCGTCTCCTATTCTCCACAGCCTTACAGGGGGGCCTGCCACAGATTGCACTGTGGGTAAAGAACAAAAACCAGAGCTATTCTGCCTCAGCCTCCAGCATGTATCTGTAAATACTAAATATTATGCAATTCCACATTGATATAACACCAAAAAATTGCATTTTGTGGACAAGTCTGATAGTGATAGAAGTTCCTTTGACTTGGTATAAGGTTCTGGTCACTGTATTTCATTGCTTTGCAAGAGCTGATTAATTTCTCAATCACTTCCACTTTTAGCTTGTGTTATTCGTGAAGGAAAAAAATCCTAGGTACAATTTCTGACAATCCATTTGGTTTACAAACCTGCTTTTTGACAGATGTTTCATACTGTACTTGGTGTGAATGACAAGTCAGTGGGATGTGATATATTCCTTATACCTGGAAGTACGTTTGGAACCTCTTTAAAATAATTCATGTGATTCTTTTGGTGACAGTAAGAGAAACCAGAGTTATACCAAGATGCCTTAGGCTTCGTCTTCAGTGTCCTTTGCCCTTGAGGACCACAGTGGTTAATAAGTTGTCCCCTCAAACATTGTCTGGTATGGATAGACTGTGCTTGCAGCATGGATCCTGGGGGCCATGGTGGCGTCGGTCTGCCTACTAGAATTTGCAATTTTCCTAGTATGGTATAACTACAAGCAGAAGGGCGTTAATCTTTCAACCCATTTTTCAACCAACTGAAATAATAGCTCCAATTTATCGAAGGCTTATATGTGCCAGTCAAATTATTAGGTGCCTTGCCAACATTTCAGTTAATCCTTTCAGGAACCCTAGAAGGCAGAGATTATCTCTGTGCTACAGGGGAGGACAGAGCTGAGTTCTTTTACTCTGTAACTCATCCAAGAGTGAGTTTCAGAGGCAGATTCCAACCCACCTCTGCCTGAGTCCTGGCTCCCACTCTTCCTTCTGTACCAAGCTACCTCAGCCTCATTTTAAACAGATGCAGCTGCAACCCACCCCCACACCGATGAACCAGGTGTCTCTGCTCTTCCATATTTGTGCAAAGGCTTAAGAAGGGCCTCACAAGGTCATCTAGGTGACACCTTTTCTTCAGGAAGGGAAATCAGCGATCTGAGAAAAAAATACTGAGTATGGGAGTCCTTCTATGGATGGAGAGGGACGGCACAGTGGCCTCAGCACCACTTCACACATTTGGAATCCGTCAAACCCGGTCTTGTCTGGAGTGAATGACTCTAACTCTCTTGCAGCCTTTCTTCCCACCACCTACTTTCTACCCACTTTGGGTGAACTTTTGAAGCCCTTTTCTGGATCTTTTAAAATATCAAGAACAAAACTGTACGTAGCAATCAGGACTGTGATCAGCTGCCCTTTTCTGGCAAGAAAACTGCCTCTTTTTAAAGGGCTGTCACTCTGGGGGTACCTGGATGGCTCAGTTGGTTGAGCATCTGAGTTTTGATTTTGATTCAGGTCATGATCCCAGGGTCATGGGATCAAGCCCCACATCAGGCTCCATGCTGAGAATAGAGCCTGCTTAAGATTCTGCCTCTCTCTCCCTCTCCTCTCCTCACACACACTCTCTCTCTCCCTCTCTAAAATAATAAAGTAGGGGCACCTGGGTGGCTCAGTCGGTTAAGCGTTCGACTTTGGCTCAGGTCATGATCTCGCGGTTCGTGGGTTCAAGCCCCGCATCGGGCTCTGTGCTGACGGCTCAGAGCCTGGAGCCTGCTTCAGATTCTGTGTCTCCCTGTCTCTCTGACCCTCTCCTGCTCATCCTGTCTGTCTGTCTCTCTCTCAGAAATAAATAAAACATTAAAAATTAAAAATAAAATAAAATAAAATAATAAAGTAAAGGGGTATCACTCCCAGTTTTTCTCCCAAACTATTATAAGAATGAAATGTCTACAATTAGGCACTAAAAATGGAGACAAGGAGGGTGGATTCTGCCTTTCAACAGGACGTCTGGGCCCCCGCCCCTCTCCTATAGTCACCCCACACATAAATAATTACAAACTTTATGTTTCCTTTCCTTGAAAACCTCCAGCATTGATCTGTCTCAGGATCAGATAACCTTCAAACACATCATAAAGCTTGTGGTGCTGGAGGTGGTGATAATAGCAGCTACAGTTTAATCAAGGCCGGGCCTGTGCCTGATGTCCACCACTTCATTCTTGTGGTGACCCTGCAAAGTAGGCTCATTTCACAGTTGAGCAAACAGGGACAGAAAGGGGCCAAGGTCAATCAGCTGGGAGAGAGAAGAACTGAAATTTTCCTGCTGGTTCTGTTAGACTCCAGAACCTATGCCTTCCCTTTCCACTGTGCTGTTGTGGCTGGTGACAAACTTACCCTAAATGTATCCCTAGTCCCATCTAATTTGTATGTTGTTCTATGTGGACACTGAAGGCCAGATTTCTCCATCTATCACCAGCTCTAATATGCCATTGTGCCTTGTAAATTCTTTAATGCATAACAGATAGCTTAAGTCTTTATATAGCTAAACATGAGTGCTTTCACTTTCAGTAAAACTGATACATCCAAGTAAACTTTCTGAGAGCGAGTAGAAGCCTTGGGTCCTTTATATGGCATGCTTTCTCTTTAAAAAATGAACTGAAGCATGCAGAACCTTGCCCTTACACCCCACAGTTTCTGGGCATATTTTCTGTTCAGTTGGAGCTCATTTACTAATACGGATTATTTTCACACACGGATTTTTCTCAAATGTTATTAGCTGCTATGAAAGGT